GGATGCTAGTTTTAAGAGTCTGAAAAATCTATTGAAACTAATTTCCCTTTGTCTTGGCTATTACCTCCTACTTCTGTGAAGCCTGGATTTAGATCACTGTAAAGCAAGTAGATCTGGAAACTGTAAAGAAATGGTGTATTCTATCAAATTCCTATCCCATTTCATCATCCTTTTTCATGAATGCTTCCAATAAGGGAGCATTGAAAGAGGTATCCTTAGAATACAGGAGCAGGGAGTACTTGTCCCTTTATTTTTTTTTTTTTCACTAAAAATAAGAATCTCATATTCCAGATCTTTGATAATTCCCTGCATTGATCTATTTCAAGTCTCAGTTGACAATTTTAGCCTGTACTGTTCCCTAGGTAAACCTTCAGGTTTGGTTTGTGATTTTCAACTCTCAGGATTTTTCTCTTCACACATGTGTTCAGCCAGCCTGCAGAATATACCTTACTTCACTGATAAGGGCATCTCATTATCAGCATAGTCTTGCTCTTTGATCTTTTGAAAGCAGTGGTAATAACTAAGTGATTGGGGGTCATGAAAGTGCCCATGAGACAAAGGCTACATACTTTGACTCAAATGTAGGGTTAATGAGGGCAGTGTTACTTTTATGTTTAGCAGGAGCTTACCTGTCTCCAGTATGAGAGAAAGTATGCTTCAGATTCTGTCAAGAACTGCTGGCCTCAGGTGTCTAAGTGACATGATTTCAGGCCTCAGCTGTTCTCCAGACAGAGACAGCTAGTAGATAACGCAGATGGTGCATGGTATTGAAGGTCCTGCAACAGATTCTTTTCAGGTGTGCAATGAGATACTCTTCTCTCTCCTTATACTTAGTCTAATGCATCTCCTCTGAGGTATGAGTAATTTGTATGGGGTTTTGAAGAAATACTTTTGCTCAAATATTTTAAATGGACATTGTGTCAACAGGCAGGAAGGAGGACATCTGACTCTGGGTTTTGTGTTGGTTTCTTTACCTTCTCTGTGTTTTCTGATTTTGTTAGCAGATAACAGACAGCACTCGCATAACAGTAACAAATTTTTTTCAAGGGACTATTAATGTACACGAGGGAACATCCGTCAACTACAGTAATAACCATAAACAAGAGCAAGAAGTGCTAAATTTTAATCCTAAGAAGGCTCCAGCTTAGACTTTTTGCCCAGATCATTCCAGTCACCCAGGATCAGAAATGAGTCCTCCTCTCACATACTATGGTACAGGAGACCTTTAAGAAACTGAGGGGTAATGTTGCACTGAAGGTTGACAGTTACAGTTTAGGCACTCGTGGTAGTATTTGGTGTTAGCTGAACCTAGTTAACCCCGCCCCCCCATCTGGTTCTCAATCCCTCTGCCTATTCTACCTGATATATACCCTTGTAGAACTGGACCAATCGTGTATTGTTTTTTGTTCACTGTGTCAAGTATCACTACCTCAGATGACCTGCATGCTCTTTATTTGACAGCCAGTGAAATGCAGCTGTTCCCTGAATTTCAGAGCTTGCTGTTCCCAAACAAGACATTGACTAGACTGATTTACAAGTTAATAGAAAGATGTTTCTGACTAATCTAGCAGCCTTCTATGATGGAGAGACTGCATCAATGGACAAGGGAAGAGCTACAGATGTTATCTACCTGGACTTCTGTAAGGACTTTGATACGGTCCCCCACAACATTCTGGCCACTAAATTGGAGAGATATGGGTTTGATGGACAGACTGTTAGATGCATAAGGTATCGGCTGGATGGCCATGTCCAAAGAGTTGTAGTCAATGGCTTGATGTCCAAGTGGAAACCAGTAATGCGTGGTGTCCCTCAAGGGTCCATATTGGGACCAGTACTACTCAATATCTTCATCAATGACATAGTGGGATTGAGTGCACCCTCAGCAAGTTTGCTGATGATACCAAGCTGAGTGGTGCAGTTCATTCATGTGAGGGAAGGGATGCCACCCAGAGCAACCTTGACAGGCTTGAGGCCCATGTGAACCTCATGAAGATCAACTGGGCCAAGTGCAAGGTCTTGCAGCTGGGTCAGGGCAATTCCCAGTATTGATACAGACTGGGAGATGAATGGATTGAGAGCAGCCCTGCAGAGAAGGACTTGGGGATGCTGGTGGATGAAAAATTGGACATGAGCCAGCAATGCACACTTGCAGCCCAGAAAGCCAACGGTATCCTGTGCTGCATAAAAAGAAGCATAGCTAGCAGGTTGAGGGAGGTGATTTTCCCCTTCTATGCTGCTCTGTTGAGGTCCCACCTGGAGTCCTGTGTCCAGTTCTGGGGCCCCCAGTACAAGAAAGACATAGACCTGTTGGAACAGGTCCAGAGGAGGCCACAGAAATGATCAGAGGGCTGGAACACCTCTCCTATGAGGAAAGGCTGAGAGAGTTAGTGTTGTTCTGCCTGGAGAAGGCTCTGCGGAGACCTTATTGCAGCCTTTCAAAGTATAAAGAGGACTCATAAGATTGAGAGAGAGTTTCTACTGAGGCCTGTGGTTGACAGGACAAGGGGTAACAGTTTTAAACTGGAAGAGTGTAGGTTTAGATTGGATATAAAGAAGAAATTTTGTATGATGAGGGTAGTGATACACTGGAACAGGTTGTCCAGGGAAGTTGTGGATGTGCCCCATCCTTGGAAGAGTAGAAGGTCAGGTTGGACCGGGCTTTGAGCAACCAGATCTCATGAAAGGTGTCCCTGCCTGTGTCAGGGCGAGGTGGCCTAGATGATCTTTAAGGGTCCTTTCCAACCCAAATCATTCTAGGATTGTTTACTGTATTTCTATAGCAATGCCTGTTTCAACATTATAATCTAGACATGAAACAATCTGGCTTTGTTACCTGTTCCATAAAAGATCTTCCTGTTAATGCTATATGCATGTAATCTTCTTCTATAGGTTTATGCTGTAACAAATTCTGTTGTAAGTGGCTTTTATATCAGCTTAAGTAGTAGGAGAGTCAATCCTCAGGACAAGCATCTTCACATTATAAGCTAAAGATCCTCACAGATCACATTTCAGATTCCTCTCTGACATGCTTTTGCAATGCCATATGAACCCGTCTTCTGTTTCTTCTTTGCTAAAGGGAAATAAAACTTGAAGTAGTTGGGCTGGAATTAATCTTCCCTGGCCTCATACATCTGAGAATTAGACATCTCGTCTCCCTCCATAGTAAAGGGATGAACAAATGAAATAACTTATCTTAATCTTGTACGAGAATACATATATCTAAATATATATCTTCAGATAGCATGTCTACACAACAGTTCATCCTTTCTCTTTCTCCATTGACTGTTGAAGGATTTTAGACAGCTTGCTTACCATTAGTTACCTGAGCTGAGATGAATGTGATAATTATGTTATTCTTAGATGACAATTCATTCAGGAACGTACCTTGACTGTTTGTGATATTTCACGAGGAGGATAAATATCCAGAAATATCCTTTCTAGGTGTATCAAAGTGGATCTCAAAACTATAAGAACACATTATGAGCTTGATAGTTTGCGGTAGTTTAAAAGTAGTTTTGATAGTAGCAAAATGGTAGTTCATTCCATTCAAATTCAGATAACCCCATCTGCCTAAATAATGCTTGAGCCTTTACAGGCCCCTTTTCTTTGATAAAGGTGTTCTGAATGTACCTATGCCTAATTGAACTCTTCAGTGAGTGCTTGAGAGATGCTCCTTATTCCCACCTCAGAATAACTGGACGCTTGCTGGTTAGTAACCAAGAATGGAGTCCATATGGAAGGAAGCAGACAATAGCTGTGCTGCTCTGAAATGTGTGCTCCACATGGATTCCAGAACTCAGGCTCTCTCCCTGCCCTTATTGAGTCCTCTATTTCCAGTTTCTGTATCAACAAAAGAATGAAGGACGACGCTGTGCATTGTGCTCTCTCCAGTTTAGAGGAAGGGAGGGTATGAGTCAGTGGGAGCCAGTGCTCTGTCAGTTCCAACTTTTAGCAGAATTACTTGGTCTCAGGTACATAGGATTCATACACAGCAAGCAATTTGAGACAGTTCAAGTGTAGGCTGCTTTTGAAAGAAGTCTGTTCTTCTGCACCTTTCCCTCTATCAGCACCTGTGTCGAAGGGGCGGCACCAGGAATGAGATCATGTTGATCAACATAACATGATACAAAAAAAGAAAAAAAAATTGCTTTGCAGCTGGACCTGTTCCTTGATCCTGTTAATTTTGTAGCCTTGCAGCCTTAGCACAAGCCAGAAGAGGGGAAAGCCATTACTTCTGTGTTTGAGGACAAATCTTGTTTAGATAAGGCTGTCATTCGACAAGTGCTTTAAGCCAAATTGTAGAACCCATATGAATGGGATGTTTGAAGCTATTATTGAGAATGAATACATTTTTTTACTGCTTTTATGAAGAATAACTTTCAAAGTGGTTCACTTTGGTGTATGGAGTTGACTTGTGATTTTTATTATCTGGCTGCAAGAGTATATATAAAAATGCCTTTTGGGTATGTAAATATGAATTTTATGAATGAGGAAAGAAACCTTTATATGTGTCATGTATATTTTCAATACAGGTTTGCAACTCAGTCCAGCTTCCGCTAAAAGCAAGGGCAAAAAATTATTGGTTCAAAGTGGCTTTCTAGAATCCTCTACTATTTTAGGTATTGATTCTACAAATCATCTGCATAAACCAGCTTATGTCTATGACAGTCGCAGTGACATTACTTTTGTTCTTTCTTTGATATTTTATCAATAAATGACAGGTTTTACAGTGTATAATAAGTATACTTTTTACACTAGCATTTCAACATGGTGTCTAAGTGTCTGGAAATGAATATAAAATTATAGCTATTTGGGTATTAAAAACTGGGCAACTATTTTGGGTTTGTCACCATATCCTTGGGTAGAAAGGTACAGGCAGATGCGTGAGACATCTATTGTGTAGCAACTTTGTTTTTCTTTGATAACTTGTTTGCATGACAAAAAGATATGGTTTATCAGATGAGTTTAATATTCTAATCTTCTGACTTTTTTCTCTTTAGGTTGCAGCAATCTATAAAGATTCAAGTATTGGAAATCTTATAAATATAGTTATTGTAAAATTAATTGTAATTCACAATGAACAGGTAGGAAAAATAAATATTAAAAAGATTTCTTTATAATGAAGAAACAAAATACATGAATTTGCATTGTAATTCCAAAGTTTTACTTTTTTTTTTTTAGTTTTAAGTACAAAATATTTTCTTTAACTATAAAATTTTGTTTTAAAATAGGAGACTAAATGTCAAATGTGAGCTTAACTGCAGAGCCTTTATTTAATGCCTGTATTTCCCCATCTCTCTGTTAGCACCTCCTGTTGACCTAAATGGACATAAATCAGATACTGTATGAAAGCTTATGGCATAACTACCTAAAGTGTGGTTATACGCATGGAAACATGATAGGGAAATGACAGCTTTTATAGAGGATTTTGATGGAGGGTTTTCAGCTCTAACAACTGTCATATTTTAAGACTGTAAGAAATATACACTTTTAAAATACATGTTTTATATTTATTTATCATAAATGTCACGCTATTTTTTTTTTTAATATTTAACACATGGTGCATGCTCACATACGTTGATTAAAATAATGGATTCTCATGACTGATGACTTGTAGCGAAATTAAGACCTGATCTTACAAACAAATCTGTGTGAGTGAACTTATGTGGAGGCCTGCTGACTTGCTTTCCATGCACAGTCATTGTTTTGCACATTAGGGGCACAAACGACAAAGTCATAAGCGCAAATGCATGAATATTAAAACCCTTATTTTTTTTTTTTTTGGCCATTTCTTGCTTAGGAAGGACCAGCTATCACTTTTAATGCAGCTACCACTCTTCGTAATTTTTGCTTATGGCAGCAAGCACAAAACACTTTGGATGATGCTCACCCTTCTCATCATGATACTGCTGTTCTTATCACTAGGTACAGTATCTGAAATAGACATAATTACTCAGCTAGGTGAGACAAATGCTTCAGGTTCTTTTTTACAACATCATTTTTTAACCATTCCACTGATATTGTTCATAGATAATTGAAGTGAATAAAGACTATCTTGCACTCCCCAAACCACTGATTATCAATACATGAGCAATTACTCTGAGAGTGCTATGTTGGTAGCTAACCATCTGATGAACCTTTCGTTAAAGATGATGGAAATTACTTAGACCTGATATTGTTACGAGGAAATGAAGTCTTTAGCCATTGTACATGTACGTGATAGGGGCAGGGTTTTGTACATAATGGAATCAGCTGAAGGATGCAGTGACAGTCAGCTGCTGATAGCCCAGGTGTAATTAGAACTACCAAAAGCTTACAAATGGAAAACATTTAAATTTTAGTATATATTCTTCCTGTACACTGATTGCCTCAGTGAAGGTTCTGATGTTCATTCACTGAAACATATTCTCTCTTTTGCTATTCTTTTTCATTATTTTTTCCCCCAGTGTTCAAGTTGGACACACTCCAGCACTTTAAACTGTTTGATATTTGTCCTGAATTTTACATTGTTATTTTGGCAGATGGTCCACTACATAAGGTAGTTTTAAGTATACGGCAATCTGCATGTTTTTCAGCAGCATTTCATGCTTGATCTATCTTCTGCATTGTAGAGAAATAACATAGTATTTGAATTTTTGTTCTTTGCGAGCTAGAGAGAAAGAAATACTGTGAGCTTAGTCTGGTGAATTTAAATTACATCTTTCACTAGAATGCAAATTGTTTGAATGGACTGTAAGATTAAAAATCAAGAATGAGATTTGCAATTGCTGTAAATAATATAGCAACAGTGAAATACTTTAAAAATGTTCTTTTATTTGCCGTAATAATTTTAAATAAATCTTTTCCTTCAAGGGAAGATATCTGCAGAGCTAGAGAGAAGTGTGATACTCTTGGTGAGTTATTCTTTTTTAATCAGTATGATTTTATAACAGAAAATATGTAAGAGAATTTCACTGTAGGGAGAAAAATCAGTTAGGAGTAAATCAGAAAATAGATGCAAAATTTAAGTCACGCAGACAAAAAAATCAGCTTCTCAATGCTGTTCTGCCCTGGCACGTACTTTGGTGCCAGGTGGTCGCTCATTTTTTGTAAGTTTGCTGCATAGTTGAGGCATGACTTTCAACTCAGGTGCCATAGTTTATAAAGTCACTCCTTCTGCATGAAAATTCATTCTGTTAAGCTTTTATATAAGGATTCAATTTTGCAGGTTTAGCAGAGCTAGGTACCATGTGCGACCCACTACGCAGCTGTTCTATAAGCGAAGAAAATGGATTGAGTGCTGCTTTTACTATAGCGCACGAGCTTGGACATGTGTAAGTACCTATTTCCCAGCAGGTAAATTTTTTAATTTACTTTGGAATATGACCACTTCCCAGTGAAGGGCTCTACGTTTCTAAGAGGGTGCAGTCTGCTACGTCCTTTTAGAAGAGTCATTATTTTTGCCCCTTGCAGTGAGCCAGCGCTGCCCACCACTTAGAGGTAGAGAAATTGTGAATTTTATAACCTGGTTGGTATCCTGAATTATGGGAAACACTGGCCATACAGCTGTATTCTGTCCTTTCGTAATACGAACTGGTTGGGACACTGGGACAGATATCTTAGATGTGCAACATAGTCCTGTTAACTCCAACTGTATTCTAGCCCTGATAGGAATTTATCTTTAAGAAAAGACAATTGTTAATATAACGCAGAAATATTCTTCCTTGTGTTTGATCCTTTCAGAATACAATAGAGTAACACAAAGAGAAATACTTTACACAGAAAAATAAGAGGAGATGACAGCATTTTATTTTATGAAGCATACCTCATCAGTGATGGCAGAAAGGTGCTATACTCTAGCTCCATGAGGCATGCCACAGCGTAGGTAACGACGACGTTACAGAGCTCAGTAGCTAGCTTGTTGATTTTCATGTGCCTGGAAGTTCATTTAGATAAATGCCATTTGTCATGGTACTTAAACTGAGATATAAAATAAGACAACGTATTAGTTGCATAAGTAGGATGTTGATGTGCTCTGTAGTTTGTTTTTGTTATTGAATAGTAAGAGTTACGATGTGAATATCAGGGTAATACGTTATGGACAGTCTAGTGAAGGCCTGCATATTCAGTTGAGGAGATGGGTTGTTTAGATAAAGTGGCATACTCCCAAAACACTGGGATTTTTCTGGTGGGCTAAAGAACTATGTAATTGTAAAATTCTTACTGTGCCCAGCATTATATAATTAGGAGCATTTTAGAAAAGGAGAGGATTTTGTAAGGCATTTTTAAGATATCTATTGCCGTAACGTCAGAGAGTCATATTAAGTCCCATTAAACTTTAAGGCATTTGCAAACTCAAAACTCAGGCATTTTGCTGCTACAACAAAAAGACTTTCAGTTAATTATTGCTGAATTTGTTTTGGAGTTTGTCTGTTTTGCTTCTTAGATTTAATGTGCCTCATGATGACAGCTTTAAATGTAAAGAAGCTGGAATTAAACACCAATACCATGTGATGGCTCCAACTTTAAATTACCATACAAGTCCATGGACCTGGTCAAAATGCAGTCAAAAATACATCACTGAATTTCTTGAGTAAGTACCAATATAATGCTATGCATTTTTTTTTTCAATTTCATGTCTTTATCAGAAGCATTTTAAAAGTATTGCTTAAATACCGATTTTCTGTTGTTGTTAAGTTTAACCACTGGTTTGTAGGGCCTCAGTCTTCCAGAAAAATAATTTTTGGATGATTCATGACTTTATTAAAGTTGCACTCAACACGTAAAGCTAAGAAGACTTTTTTTTTTTTTTAATTATAGTGGTGTTGGTTATTGATAAACTCTGTAGTATGATTTTAGTAGGTAAGAACAGACAAACTTTATTTTAGGAAGTTTTTATTTAAAAAATAAGTGGTAGGTATAGTTTAGGCAGTACCATATTTTTTTCCTGTAAGAATGTGAAAATGAGAAATGACAGCCATAAAGCAAAAAAAAAACTTAAGCCTTTTTTTGGGGGATATAATGCAAAAGCCAATAAGGGAAAATCAAGTTACCTGGTTTATTTTATTAATTTTAATTAAAGTCATTATAAAGGCAGGTAGGCATGCAAACCCATAATTCCACTGAGATAGGCAGGTGTAAGTGTTGTGTGAGTAAGCTCCCAACTGATTTATTCACATTTTGTTCCTGTTTTTACAACAGTACTGGTTATGGTGAATGTCTCCTAGACAAACCAAGTGGAAGAATATATGATCTTTCCTCTCAGCTGCCTGGGTCAATGTATGATGTCAACAAGCAGTGTGAACTTATGTTTGGTCTTGGGTCACAAGTGTGCCCATATCTGGTGAGTGAGCAACACACAGAGTCATGCTCAATCTGTACTAAAAAATTACTGAAAGGTAGGTTTGAAATGAAATCTCAGGACTTCTGGTTTTAGAAAAATTCTATCCTGAAATGTGTCAAAGTTCAGGTCTATTTTGTTGAAGGGGGAAGAGTTCAGTGGAGAGCATTGCAGCTCCCTATGCTAGAAATATATAGAACTAAAAAGTAGGATTAATTCATTTTGATTTGCACATCTGTGAATGTGATTATAATTCCTTTAAAAGATCTAAAGCTGCATAAATTAAGGCTTCCTGCAACTACTGAAAGGGAATTATTTCAACACTTTTTACAAATGTTTTCACACTCTAGCCCCCTATATTACATTAATAGATCTTTCTTATCTGTTTCTTTTAGTGCTTTTTACAAACTTATAACTTTAAAATTAATATATTAATTCAAATATTTGTTCCAAATGTTTGGTCCAAAGTGTAGATTCCCTCTACTTTTGTCAATGTGTCAGAAAATATTTTCAAGGCTGTTAGAGTGTACATTTTCTATACTTAATCAAAAATTTATTTAAAGCAAAACTGGGATCTGGAAAGAGAACTTGAGTAATTAAGGAACTTAAGTTGTATTTTGAAAGCTTAATGTGTCCAGTGCAATATAAAATAAATAGAAATATAACATTATGACTTCATTACTGTTGAGATGTCACAGTTAGATTTTGGACCAACTTGTCAAATGCCTCTGCTAGTATTGGATGGCTTGTTGGATCTGTTTAAAGGAGAGAATTTAAGATCAGATTCAGACTGGGTTAAGAGGAGCTGTTGGTGAGCTAAAGTGTCGTTTAGAAGGAGTCAGGCTTTATGGGAATATTATAGAAAAATAAAGGGGGATTCAAAGACCTGAAGACGGTGTTACTGAAGACTGCTTTGTAAATTTTTGTAAGCCATAAAGGTTATTTGCCCATTAAGTCTTCTAACAATTTGAAAAGGAGGCTTTCTTCTTGATTTTCTAGTCAGTGTATTTTTAAAAATAATTCCAGTTAACATCTTTATCTGGGGATTGTACTCAAACTGTGCTGCACAGTATCAGCCGTAATATCTTACATGCTTTTTTAATTAAATTATCTACTGAATTTTATTAGAAAATGAAGTTATCTATTACTTCTAATGAGATCAGTTGCAAATACTCCACATTCCTGCCTGGCCTTATGGAAAACCCATTTTTAAATTTTTTTTTTTTTGGTTGGGTTTTATCTGTGAGAAATCGTAGTACTAATAGCAAACACTAAACTCACATAGTATGAGAAAACAATATAAATATACCAACTAATGTCTTAAATGGCATTACAGGTACAACAAAGGTAATCTTGTTTTCTTTTTAGAAACAATGCAAGCGCTTATGGTGCACAAGCACAGAAGGTGTTCACAAGGGTTGTCGTACTCAGCACATGCCTTTGGCTGATGGAACAGTTTGTGGTGTAGGAATGGTAAGCCTTCACATATTTCTTAGTACTTGTATATGGCAAAATCTTTGATGTAGATAAGAAAGATCAGTGCTTGCTGTGTGGCAATACTGCACCTGTAGCACACTGATTGTGTAAACAGTATCTACCTGATTTTACCTGCAGTTTCTCTTACTTGTGTAATGTGACATAAATAACATAGGTTCAGAATAATGATAAAAGTTTACAGATGCAACATTGGTTAAAAATAGGTGGAAGACCTCAGGGGAAAGTTGCCATCTTTCCTTCTGTTTAAAAACTTCAGATCATTCATAACAAGTTGGGTTTTTTCCTCATCGGTCGTGCTCCAAAGATGAATTTCCTGCAAACAAGACATCCCAAAAGTGTGTGTCCCCCCGTTTGTCTTGCTGAGGCTGTTTCACTGAACCAAAATGAATTAAGTATGAGTGACTTAGATACAGGAGTACACTTCTTTGGAAAGGGGGAGTCTTTGGATTAGTATCCTGGTTCCAGTAGATATTTGTGCGTTTTATCTGTTTCAGACAAAGTATGAACAGTATGAAACTGCGTCAAGGGAAATTCAGATTGGTGTTAGGAAAAGGCTCTTCACTGAGAGGCTGATTGGTCACTGGAACAGGCTCCTCAGGGAAGTGGTCATGGCACCAAGCCTGTCAAGAGTTCAAAGAGCATCTGGACGATGCTCTTAGTCATGTGGTTTAGTTTTAGGTAGTCCAGCGAGGAGCAGGGAGTTGGACTTGATGATCCTTATGGGTGCCTTCCAACTTGCTGCTTGAGATATTCTATGATTCTACGAAAGCGTCTATCAGTACCTCTTCATCTACTCTAGTAGATGAAGTGTGTGGCCTTAGCCACGTATAACTCACACTGATATTCTGTCTTGCCTATTTTAACATAATTCAGGATAGTTGGATCACTTTAGTGCTAAAAACTAGGAGCTCTCTTCTCACTTATACCCTAATATGTAGGACTCTACCTGGCTGCATGAGGTATGAATTGAAGGCTTTGACACATAAGAAAAAAGAAACGGAAGCTGGACTTCCTACACCCTGCTCATTGGTTCATTTGGTAAAGAGTATTTGGGTGATGAGAGGTCAGCTCACTACTTCCTCATCTGGCAAGTTGTTTTTGAGTCCAGATCTTGATCTCTATCCTCTGACGATATAACCTTTCTTGGGCTGTCCATAAGGGTTATGAATATCTAATTGGTAGATATAGTTACGGCACTTACAGAACCGTGATAGAAGCAGAAGTAGTGGTGGAGGCTAGTTGAATCCAGAGGTATCAGTGAAGATTTGAGGGTTTTAGTTTTGGATTTGTATGTAGTTTGGGAAGTGAACAGAAATTAGGTGCTTGAGTTCTTTGCTGATCTAGTCTCTGGTTTCTCCATGTCTCAGTTCACCACCAGCAAATAGAATTATTTTCTTACCTGTCAGGGGATTGTGAGAATAAGTAATTCTGAGATTTTTGACATGCTGCGATATGACAGTGATTATCTTAAGTATGGCTGGTTTATAATGTTGAGCTGCTTTTAATAGTAGTGTGCTTCGGCAGCTTCAGAGGCTGTGGAGGTAATGTTAATTTTTTATCTTTTGATAGTTTTATAGGTTCAAAGATGATTAAAAAATATCTGATCTAATTTCTGTGTATAATAGGCTGCTACATTTCACTCAGTTATTACTAAATTTCCCTCAATAACTTTTAATCTTTACAGATATTTTTTTAATTTTCTGTATTTGGTAAGACAGAAGTAGTGAGGAATTTGAAAATACTGTCTTAATGGATAACAATTTAGTGGGTAAACTGTCTTAAACAGTTTCTTTCTCTCTTGCAAGATTAGGAAAAGTTATGTGAAGGTTGCAGTGGAAGCTTTGCTTTATTAAATCCTATGCATGCAGCTGGTGTTATAATGTTTAACCCATTTTTCAGTCAGTCACTGATCAGAAAGGAAGTTGATCTTTTATATAAACTTCTTGTGTAATCTTTAGTTCAATTGATTTGACTCTAATTTGCCAACATCAGAGGACTTCTTTTATATAAGAATACAAAAACCTATTTTATGCAATTAATGCAGTGAGACCAGTTTTCTCTAGGAAGTAAAGAGCTAATTACCATCATTACCTCTGAAAGATGTAAGAAAGAACAGCAATTAATCTGACAAATTGTCATCTGTTCCTGTCTAAGGGACGGCTCCTTTCAAGCTCAGTCAGCAAGTTTCTGTTGATGTTAATGGGAATAAAACATGGTGACTAGTTATTGTAATTAATATTTGTCGGCAAGCTAAATAAATGTATATTTGGCATTTGCAGCATTATTGCTATGATGAATACAGAAAAGATTCGTGTAAGGCATTTGTAATTTTAGTATCAACTTCTTAAGCTTAGATTTGCCATGTGAGTTTATTTTCACCGAAATCTTTAGTTTTTCTTCAGGTTGTGTGTCTGATTAGTGGATCTGGCTCTATGGACTGCTCTAATAGTCCTTGTATCTTTCCTTTCCCAAAATGCAAGAAGATAGAAATCTAATAATATGAGACTCTCAAGTGAACGAGCAAACAGCTTTTCCTGAGTGCCTGCACTTCCTAATGGAATATCTTCTTGCCATATGCAGTCTATGAGCATGTACACATTTTGAAAGAGAATTGCGTTTTGTGTGTCTCATGGTGCACACACCTGTAGAGCTCAGTGACTTCTTAATATACGTAATATTAGTAGTAGGCATGGGTAGCATTTTCTTAAAACATTAAAGGGAAAATTCAGCCTAACATTTCAGTGTCTTATAGAGAATAAAGAAAATATTTCTGTGGGAATTTGAACATTTTCTGTATTTATTCTATAGATTTAATATTATTAATTATCTAGAATTAATATTACTAAAATAGAAAACTTTAACTTTTACTTCAATTTGCTATCATCTAGTCAAATTTATTTGAGCTGATCAATCTGTACTTTGTTCATGCTAGAGTTACCTGCAAAAATGAATTATATTTGCTTGTTGTGGCTTCTGCTGAAGTATCTGAAAATTTCTATTCACCTCCTGTTTTTATATATTCTGTGTGCTTAAGTTTGACAGTAGCCTATAGGTAGCAATTCTGCTGTGTCTGAGAGCAGTTTCTCACTCCATTGATATTCACGTTGTGTCTCATCAGTTCAGTTGCTTTTTGTTTGCCTATTTGGCTTCACAAAGATCCATAGGAAATCTAAGCTTCTGACAGCTCTTCTAACATCCCACAGACCTTCCCTGAAGCAGAGGATGCAGCTTTTAAATTCTCTGGCCTAATTGGTACTTCAGAGACAAAATGATAGTAAATATACCTAGACATGCCATATGTAAACATTTACTAGTTTTGCAGTGGTGAATTTCTACATGCCATAGGACTATGTTAATTATTGCTTCAAAGTGTTTCTGGTGGTTTTTTTGTGAGAGATATTATAATTCAAATGTATACATTCTGGATTGTCTTTCTAAATACGATTATGTGGTATAACCAGAATATAAAGTTTTTATTAAAATGTTATTTTTATTGTGTAATAAGGCACAATGGCATGAAAAATATTAAATGGTTAGTGCGTTTTCATGTTTTGTCTCTGTAATCAAAGTTACCATGGCATTATGCTCAGAATTAAGAGCTATGCCGTATGATTAGTCTGAGGTAGCCTCCTCAGTGGATGCCTCAATGAATTTCATATATACAATTGTAATTTTTGTTGCTATGGTATAAACTATATGTACAAATTAAAAACATGATAAATCACAATAAGGAAAGTATTTATATGCTGCATTGAGGAACAACATGCCAGAGGAGGCCGCTATGTATTGCAAGATGTATAAAAGAGTTATTTTTCATTAGGACAGAAACTGGAATGCTTTAATTGGCCCAGTTTCCTTCTCTTAACCATCGTAATTCTTGTTGCCATCGTGTTCCAGGTAGGAGCTAATTTGATGGATGTTTAGGAAACGTGAGTGACTTAGAGCAGATCTTTTTGCCCCGCTTCCTCTTAGGTTTTCTTGTGACATTCTAGTCAGAAATTTCGTTGTGCTTTGAAATTTCTGCAGGCCAGCAGGCTCTTGGTGTTATCCGTTTGAATTATGTTTTCAGTTGCTTTCTTTTCTTTTACTACCTGTTTCTTTTATTTTTCGGGAGACTACTCTATTCAAGGGTTTCTGTAGTGAGGAATTTACTTGCATTTGTACTCTGGGATAGTACAAAAGATTTCTTCTCACCTTCACCATAGGAAGTTCTTGGGGTTTTTTTCCTTTCTTTTTGAAATTCCAAAAAAGAAGTGAGTGTGGAGAGTGATTCAGGTTTTGGCATCTTGAATATCTTTGTTCAGATTTAAAAAAAACCAACAATAACAAAACCAAAAAACAAAAAAAACCACAAAATAATGTTAGTAGGTAGATTCCGTAGATTCTCTGGATTTGTTCATAATTTTAAATCTACAGGGTACCAGTTTTCACAGTGTGGTTGATGTCATTACGGAAAATACTTAATCCCATTTTATGGAGGACCTAATTAAAAGTAAAAGCAAGCTAGTAGTATTATGGAAAAGAAAGCCAAGTGATATACTCTCCTTACGCATATCCATCTCCAACTTACACCTGGCTCAGAATCATGGCTTCTGTATAATGAAGTGATGCAGTTTTTAGCAGTGTAGTTCACATGATATTCCAGTAATGGTAACTCACTTGTTGGAGTTGGTGATGCACATCTGAGCCAAAAAACCCACCTCCAAAGAAGAATCAAAGAAAATGGTGAAACCATCTATCTTCTAGGAGTGGCATTCTCAGAAAAGTCTTTTTTTTGCTATGAAAGTAACAGCAAAAATACCCAATAAAGTGTCTTTTATTATTATTTTTTGAGGCACTCAGAAGGGTTGCAGCATACAAATATGCCCATATTCCATTGATTCTTTGGACATTAGAAGGGAGAGGTAGGAGGTAGCTATGTGATTCTGACCCAAACTTTTCCATGTCCTGAAGCTATCCCAGTGTTGTACATAATG